TTTAAAAAAAACCTAAGGGAAAAAAAAACCTTTCCCCTTTAAAAAACAAAAAAAAAAAAAAAAAATGTTACACAAAAGTGTTTCACTATAAAGATGGTTCGTAGTTTGTTTTGTTGCAACCTGAAGTGTGAAATAAACTTCAGTGGAGTTTGAAAACAAAATATGTCTGTAGGTTTATGTCTATTAAACGATGTGTGTGCCCAGTTGATTTTTTTTTTTTTTTTTTTTTTTTTTTGGGGGGGGGGGTCGGGGGGTTTTTTTTTTATTCCATGGGGGGGCCCAGAAGAAAATCTTTGGGAACCACTGCCATAGATGAAGACTAGCATGAAACCACAATAAACAAACTGGTCCGACCTGGACTGAAGAATCGTAAGCTGATCTAAGAAAAATTTTAAAACACAGTTTGTGATTGATATAATCTCCGCTCTTTTTGTGAAAATGAAAAAACTTTAATATTTTGTTTCCACAGAAACAGTAGTAAAAATGTCTAGGTCTTGTTCTCGTGAAAAGGAGAATTATGCATGGTGACGTCTTGTGAGCGCAATCAGTCATACAAACATGACAGTGTTCTCCATGGGACTCGTTTTTCTGACCAAACAAGTTGCAAAATCCCACCAAAAAAAAAAAAAAAATCAATACATACTGAAGGGGAAGGGAATGCAATTGTCAACAAGAACCTCACAAAGGAAACAAAAGACATGCTGTGTATTGACTGAGATGCAGGAAACCTGTTCACAGCTCAGCGAGCAAGCAATCTGCAGTGTCACATGAAACTGCTGACGCCTCAACAAGGCTGCATCCTCAACATACACAAACCTATACAACATGAAGGCAAATAAATCACAACTTTAAATCCGCTGATTTTAATGAAAGCACACATGCCTCCTATGTGTGGCTATTGGAAGAAAGTTTTTCTTTCAGTGTCAAAAATGCTGTAGAGGCAATAATCATGTTTGCATAATGGCCTACAGAATCCTTACTAATGTCTTCCTCATCTGCACCGCAGCACCTTCATCAGTAAAAACGCTCCTCACCAGATGAGGAGCGAGAGTCCTCCATGACCTTCATCATCCCTACAGAACATATGGGGTGGGATGAGGGTAGTGGGGGTGAGGGGCATAGTTAACAGGGAACGGGATCTCAAACACAAACAGACAGAGCCCTCTCCTTAGATCAGGGGGGCCCTTGGCCCTCGGTTTCTCTTGGTTGTCCCTCTTGCCTTGGCCCTGGGGGTACACCATACTCACCCCAGGTCTATGTTGAGTACAGACGCACATACAAACTCTACCGGCACAGCTGTCAAAATCCTGATGTCTTAATCAATCCTGGATCCACAACCCTGTCAGACAGAGCAGTAAGATGGATGCAGAAGGGGGCGACCTCTGACCTCAACCAGGGGAGGAGAATGCAAGTCTTCTGTGCCCCATAAGCTCCCCCTCGGCTCCCTTTTCTCCCCAAACATCACCCTCCTCAGTCGGCTCTCCTGTCACCCAAACAATGATGGAGGAGATTCCATTCATCTTAGGCTGGGAACCAGGGGCCAAGGTGCCCTTGTAACCTCACGCATACACAGGAAGAGAAAAGACACACAAGCCTACAAACGCACACCTTCTAACAACGATACCACGTGAAGCACAAAACACCTTTGAGTACGACGGTGCACGGCTACCTAGTCTAAGTGCAGACTGACACACTGTTTAGTTAAAAGTGTTTCAAATCACAAAACACACATCAAGAAAAGCAAAACCCCAAGGTTGGCCTGGAAAACCACCCTGCCCCCAAACGAGCTTCTGTCTGAGTTTCTTGGTCAACATGTCCTTCGAGATGTGGAGCCCTTCTCCCATAGAGCCTGTCACTTGTGGGAATATTAACCAGCTCATCAGTGCACTTGAGAACCAATAGTGGGCAGCACCTTTTAACCCTGGAGTCAGTAGAGTTCATTTGCTCAGTCTGCACTCGAGGCATGTCACCCAGAGTACGACTGCAAGTGAAATGTTAAAACATAAACATTGTAACTGAAGCTAAAAGGTAATGGATTGGCTGGCATTGTTAACTTAAACACAATCAAGGAGCTGCAGTGATACGTGAGCTAAATGGATACATTGGCTTAAAAACAAGTAGTGTCAGAATAGGGCTGGCAAAATATAAAAAGACTGCATTAGTCCCATAAAACCTATGGTTGCGTATCCATACAGCTCTCTGTAGCAGCTACTTTTCTCAACAGGAATTACTCTGATAAGGACACTACTTCAATTTCTAAAGCCTGTATAAGATACAGTAAAGTGAATAGGATCAAAGACATTTATTTTTCCACAAATGTAGGTGCTATGATCATAAACTGCATTACAGTGTGCCAAAAAAAAAGCATTACGTCAGCTATGCAACGAAGCATGTTTTGATCTCCTTACTTCAGGAAGGAAAACCTGGTGGGAATCGTCTGAAACCAGTAACAGGGAAGCCTTTTTAGGCCATAAAACGAACCCCCATGCCCCATCTGTGACTACTTGAACCCTTTTACCCGTCCCTACCCCCAAGCAGCCACTGGCACCCCTAAATCACCAGACCTGTTTGTCATGCAATTAGTTCTCCAAGATAAAGGCTCCCTCGTAAATTAGGAGAGGTGTAGTGGTCCGTCCCTCCTGTTAATCACCCGTGCCCAGCCTCTGACCCCTCGCTGCTGCAGCTCACTGCTTTTTGTATGTGATGGTGATGGGCTTGTTGGAGGTGTCTACCAATAAAGCAGTGAAGCAAAACTGGCATCCGCCCTACAGGACGGCTTACAACCCTGGGTCAGACTGGTAAAACACTCAACATGGTCCACAAAAACAGTGCTGTGCCACATGTGCTTCACTTTACACCGGGCATAATAAAACAGACAGAAGACTGAGCAAATATTAAGAAATTATAGAAATGAAAAAGAAACTAGAAGAGGGAACTCTGGAATTACTTTTTAATCTCTGCTGAAGGGCCAGGTTTAGAATCACAACAATCTGATTTAGAATAATTATCTAAAAAGGCTAGTCCTTCAAAACAAACATCGCCACCTCAGCCCAGTCTCACCACCGCATTTTCACTCCTCCCAAACATGCTTGGAATCGTAAAGCCTATTTCACTCTTTCCCACTCTTCCCAAAGCTGTCTATCTCCTTTTCAAGTTTTGGGCTCCATTGGGAGCAACAGAAAGAACAGGTGGGGTGAAAGACACAGCAGTGGTGTGAACCAGTTGGAGCTCTGCGCTCCACTCCCAGTTTCACCAATTCTCCTGGGATACATCCCTTTGCACAACACCTCCCAGTGGGCCTGCTAATTACTCCACTTACAGTCGTCATTACTTCTATCACGCAAGCACACCATGAAAAGACTGGAGAAAGCAAGCGAGCGAGGAGATAAAAATTTCCAGCAGAGTGCTAGGTGGGTAAATTGAGAAAGGAAAGCACAGGACAAAGAGACAAAACAAAGGGGATAGAAACAAAGAATTACAGGTGGGGGGAAGGGAACATTACTAAAGGATGAGTGTGGTCAGGATTTGAGGGGTTAGTTTGATGTGAACATTTAGAATTAGGTAAAAGAAAACAGTAAGAAAGAAGAAAAAAATAAAATGGCAGTTGTTCACCTTGGCATTCTGAATTGCGTTCCTCGTATCCAGGGTTGCACAGGCAGTTCCCTATGGGCACCAACCACTCTCCATCGGCTCCGCAGTACATCTTGGGAACCTCCTTTTCTTCCGAATTATCCACACACGAGCCACGAACTTCCACCAGCGATGACGTGTCGGCACCAGTGATAGTATCAGGAAACTGGGCTAGGTTTCGCACGGATAAAGGGCATTTCTTGTAGAAGACCCTAACAGAAACGAGGGCAATGCATGCTCCAACATCCTGGAATGCCAAATAGAAACCCTTCCGTGTCAGGGCACCCACATCCCGGACCTCCGTGTTCAGCTTCATGATGCGATCCCCGATATCCACCTGAGTGAAGCTCTCGTCTGCGGCAATGGTGTCTATCTTGGTGAACTGGTTCTCCCGGATGTAGCGCTCCTTGTCATTGTTGGACTCGTAGTAGTAAAGATTGAAGGTTTCCTTGCAGGTTCCCATGACCCCCGGCAAGCTGTTGCAGTCCCGCAGGGTGAACTTGATCTCGATGTAGACACGCTGGGCACCTCCACGGGGGATCCAGTCAGTACGGAGCCAGTTGTTCTGATTTGGCTCCATGACATTGCACACCTGGTATGTACGGATGGGGATGTTCTTTTCGTCCATAATGCTCACTTCCTCCCACTGGGGAAAGGACGAGAGAAAAAAAAATGTAACAAGAATGAAATTAGACTTGATGGATCTTACAGCTTAAGTTGTATGCCACAAACAATAAGGAAAAAAGTAAAAAAAAAAAAAAAAAAAAAAACTGTTAAGGTTTAAGGACATCTGAAAAACATCTCATAATCATAACGGGCTATGTAATGCTTAACATGACTATGAGGTAATGTAACCTCAAAGGAGCATTTGACTGTTTTAGTCAATATTTGAGCTGACTGCTTAACTTAATGCATGTTTTATGAATTACACCTAATAGACTTGTTAGCCCTTAATATGGAATCACAAAGCCACTTTTATTCACTGCCTTCGCTGAAGCATCAGAAAGAAAGAGTATGTAATGAGGTTTATGCCTCAATGATCTTCAGTACAATTACTTTGGGAGTGATATAGAAAAAAAAATCCATTTCCAGCTCACACACAAACATTCAGGTGGATGTTTAAGAACATTAGAGGAGTTATAAAGGAAAGAATGTCATCACCGCATTGCACAGATCTAGAAAGTCTTTGAACAAGTGCTAACGATCTAATGGGCCCTGGCCTGCTTTGTGTCTGCATAATCAAGAGAGACCTGCAGACCGAGACGCACATGTTCACTGAGGTTAGCATGAACTCATAAAGAGAAGGGAGGTACTGATGTGAGGTGCATGGATTATTTTACCCTGTGCGATTTGGCTTATTTTTACCAAAGGGGAGTGTTTGTTTTACTTACGATATAGTTCCCCCTCTCAACAGAGCACTGTTGAGCAAATATGGACCTCATCTTGAGAGGCTCAAAGCACTATGCTTCCCTCAAGTTTTTTAACTGTGTGTTTTAAAAAGAGTCTTTGACTGAGCCGGACTGTAAACAGAAGCAGACGAGCCTTTGGCTTGCGTAGCTTTAGCCATTTGGAGAACCATACAGAAACGAATAGAACCGGGACGATGGGAGATATGGGCGATGCTGGCAGATATGACTCAATGGCTAATTGTAAACACTCCGGATTAAAACCTTATTTCCCAGGAGGTGGAAGGGATAATACTAAATACAGCTGCAGCTGTATGATTTGAGAAAACGTCTATCATTCCCTGCTGTTCTATTCCACTCTGCTCCCTTCCCTTTGCATCCCACACCCTCCCACCCTTCCCCTTTTGTTGTGAAAATCTAGCGCCGCTGAGATAAGGCTGCCCCTTTCCCTGATAGCAGGAAAGAGGCAGAATGAGATCAATTGGTCATAATGAGAGGGTGAACGCAGGCTCGCAGGAGCTGCCAGGACCCTGTCAATCAATGGTTTGTGATAAGATGGCCGATAGCAGGACCCGAGCGCAGCGCAGGATTGTTTGTGCAGGGTCAAAAGCATAGCATCTAACATCTGTGTCGATGATTTTAGATTCAGTAACAGGCCAAATTGTTGTAAATGATATAGTTTGTTTTTTTGTTTTTTTTTTTTACTTTAAAAGGTTCACTTGTGTTTCTCTTTTTATTTGTGCAATTCAACTAAAATTCCGGAGTGAAAAGTCTTTGTCTAATGAAAGCCACTATTCATTCAGGTTCTTGAGGAAATTAAACACATTATCAAAAGTTACCCTTTGTAGAGCTGGAGGAGGTGTCCGAATTTTATTTGTGCTCTGATATCTAATATCAGAGGCAGGTAGAGTTTGGTATCACGCATTTAGTCGACCCTTTTCCTCTCTGGTTTGTAGCCGGAGCTGGGGCTGAAGCCCACGGCACTTTCCGCCTTATTCATCAGTTCCAGAGGACCCTCTCTAAGCTGCCAAGTTCCCCCCTCTCTTTCTCTCTTCCTCTTTCCCTCCCTCCTCGACTGAATGGTGGACAGGGATATAAAGTTTCTCCACAAAGACCGATTCAATCCAACGTCTATTCAGGAAACCTGACGCCCGCTGCAGTATCAGCCCCTGCATCTGACCATTACGGAGTGGTTAGAGGCAAGGGGAGCAAGCAGAAAGGGGAGCAGGGGTTCCTGGCATTGGAGGCGGGGGGTTTTGTGTGGGTTCCTGAAGCAGACTCTGGAAACTCATGGGACCCTCCAGGTGTTCTGAAGTGTCTCCACATGTAAAATAAAGTATCACATTTTATTTGATCAAAATTTTGGTGTACCTTGAATGAAATGATCTCACTCCAAGGCATGGCCTAGTTACCGTCTCAAAGTATGCCAGGGTTTAAAAGTTGCATTTTCAAATCCACTCAAATTCACCGCCACTGAAGTCTGTTTAATGAGATGCCAGAAAAAGTGCCAGAGGGAGTTTTATTGTGGCTGTCTGGAGCAGTGGGTAACACAGAATTGCCCCTCTTCCACCTGTTGCTGTGCACAGCCAGTCAGCTGGCTGAAATATGGCACCTACATTTTCCCTCACCTACAAGAAACATGAACAACCTGGACAGTCATGTAGTGGACGATAAAGGAACCCCATCTAGAACTAAGGTAAAGTTACTATAAGCAAATAACTAAATTCAAAGTGTAGGCTGGCTACCAGTGCAGATAGCCTGACTAAATTATCACTAAATATCAGACTGCTAGACTTGTGTTACTCTATGAAAGATAGAATGACTAGATATAACTGAATTACTTCTAAATGTAGCCCCCGGTTATTGGACATGTTTTCCTCAAGTTTATGTAAAAAAGAAATCCCAAATCCCAAATAAATATATGCTTTAACTGCTTTGACATTAACATTTGATTATTTATGCAATAGCTCGGATAACTGACACTTTTCTGCTAATAGATCCTGCTATATACTTGAGTCTTATTGGTTTTCAATTATTTATTTATTTTTTTGTTTTGTTTTAATATTGTGGCATTTTTACTCAAGCTTATCATATATGAGAATCTCAAAAGCCCCGTGCCTCCTCACCCCAAGACTAAATACCCTGACAGGTTTGACAAATGACAAAATAAATATCCAACCCAGATATTCCTGAAATGGTTTCACCAGGAAAAAAAAAAAAAAAACTCTTATCAGGGAGGACTGTTTATTTATCACCCCCGCCTCTCCCAAACCTCCTGCAAATAACGGATATCTTCTCTCGGTGGAACAGCTTTTTGCGATACGTACCCCTCCTTCTGTCGGGTTGGCGACCCATCCCAGCTCCCCCTGTACGGCCCTGGAGTCCAATAACGTGACTGGAAAACAAGAATGGGAGACGTTCAATCTTGCAAGCCTCAGACTGTCCACACAACACCAACATAGCAAGAAAAATGGCTTCCTAATTTTTAACCAAATAACAGTCAAACTGGAAAAATATCCGCACATGAGAAATATCGTTGCGGGCAGGGAATTAAAATTAAATTTGCTGTTGTCCTTGCGTGTGTTGTGTTCTGCGTAATTCCCCTGCTATGATGGCCGCTGATTGATTTTCGTTGAGGAGAATGATTTATAGCGATTGGTGTATGGGTCTCAAATGGTTTTTATTTTATTTATTTATTTTTTGTGTGTTTCATTTAAGCTTGGAGACGTTCTGAATGCAAATATGAAGAGTCTAAAATTAAAACAGAGAAAACCTAACATAATAGCTCAATAGAGCGTTAATCGCAATGAGTTTTCTAGACAAAACGGCAGCAAGTGGTGTGCGAAAAATGTCTCATCTACTGCACTGAAAAGCTAATTTCATGAAATATGATATGCAAATTTCACATATTAACAGAAATGAAATCTATGGAAACAAAAGTTTATGTCAAAATGTTAAATATTTCTCATGTATAAAACTAAAGTAAGTGTAAACGGTCTGTGTGAGTCCAATGCAGATTTGCTCCTCCGATGGGGACACACAGGGGTTGCTATCAGATCAGCTTATTTAAAATCCCGCTCTGTTTGCAGAACGAGAAAAATATTCTGGAAAAGAGACGCTGCGCGAAGAGAATACTGTCCAGGCCGGTCAGTGGAAAGTTAAAGCCCAAACCTTCAGCTCTCTTGGTGTAGACATTTTGCATTATTCCGTTGATTCTTGATTATATATATATATATATATATATATATATATATATATATATATATATATATATATATATATATATATTTTTTTTTTTTTTTTTTTTTATTTTTTTTTTTCTCCCTATATTTCGGTCCACATCTTACACGCGCAGAGTCGCGCAATTCAACTTTTTGAATTTGTCGCCGTCTTCCATCCAAACACAAAGTGACAGACGGAGCGATGAGCTCTCACACTGTTGGGTCCAGAGCTGCTTTGCTGCTTTCTCGTTCTGGGTTTTTTTTCCTGATTTTTTATTTTATTTGCTGTAGTTATAAACCTGACAATATTTAAGCGCATTTTGTCTACTGATCAGCTCAGTTTTCTTCTTGACAAAACAGTCTGCCTTGGGACCACAAGCGAGATCTGTTCATGCACCCTGGGTCTCCATGCAGCCGAGACGAAAACGAGCAATGCGCATTTGGACATTCCTTATGCGCTGAATCTTGAAGAAGAAAAAAAGTGACCGTCGCCGTGTTTTCCTTTGTTAAACTCTTTGAGGGGCCCCCGTGCAAACGCATCGAGGGGCCAAGGAGTGAGAGGTCTTCGCGGCGCAAACACAAGCACAGGGACGGTGCGGAGCTGGGAGGGTGGATGAAGTCTAAAGTCTGCTGTAGTCTTCTTACCTTCATTTGGTGGGTATATCCGTGCCGACGAACCGAGCGTAGAAATCCCAGAAATAAGAACGGTGACCGTGAACAAAATCCCTGCCATGAGTGCCATTTGCGACGCGGCTCCGCTTTTTTCCTCTCTTCTTTTTTTTGCGTTTCTCTTCTCTCTGGTCCCGCTCTCTCTCTCTCTCTCTCTCTCTCTCTCTCTCTCTTTCTCTGTCTCTCTCTCTCCCTCTCCCTCTCTTTCTCTCTCATACACACACACACACACACTCCCACTCTCCCTCTCTCTTGTCCTCTGACTTTCCCCAGCGGAATATGGGTTTGAAGCGGACAGCAGGAGAGAGACGCACCGAGCGATCCACAGGCTGGAGGCGTGTCTGTGCGCTCTGACGCGCACTCCGACAATTCAAGGAGGAAACTTTGGGGACAAGAAAGCGGGGTGCAAATAATCGTTAACTGCCCCCCTATTCAAGTGTCATCAACCCCCCTCACTGAATTCACCGCGGGCTTACTGCAGGGTGTTTTTTTTTTTTTTTAAACATGATTTTGTGAATTGCCAATTGGAATCAAATAATAAACTGTAAGCAGTTTAATTAGTTTTGTTCTGCTTGGGAACACCAGCTCATCTCTTACTTTACATGAGCAACCAAAGCTACAAATAAAGCAGTCGGTTCATGGGTGAGGAGGAGTGCGTCTCTTCTTGTCCTCTGCGCTCATCAACAGTCACACTGTGCTGATCCTGCATGTCTGCAGTCCGAGGTGAGCCTCATCGGCCCGAGGTCGCCACCTAGCGGACAGATCGACACCTGTTCTGGCTCCAGAATTGGATTAAAGAACAAGCAGGATCGTGACCTTCCCTTGCATTACACGGTAAAGCACTTTGTAAAAATTGACACGAGCTGCTCTGAGATCGGTGGTAAACTTGTATGGATTATTGTCCCTTTGTCTTTTGGTGCACTATAATTGGAACAGTGTGCTGCAGAAGACGTCAAATATTCTGCAACATATCTAAGTAATTAATTTTATTGATAATAATAAAATAATATCAGTTTCTTAATGTCGGGTTGTAAGTGGCTAAATAAAAACCTTAATAGAAAATCAGTTTTGGTAACAAATTCTACCTAAACATTTGGATTAGATGTTTCAGTATGTCAACAGAAAACTGCATATTGATATGTTTAAATTGGTAGTACAGTGAGTGAATGTATTGATATAACAACACAACCTCTGATAGTTGATTGTGTTATCATGGTGTCTAATAGTGGATGGTATATAAAGTCTACGTAACATTTCCTTACATAAAAAAGAAAAGCATTTCTTTCTTTCACTATGCCATTAAATTGTGAAAATATTTTCCTGTTTTAGGGTGGGTTAATGAAATAATTAAATAATAATAAAAATAATTATTTCATTTGGTAAATAGCAAAAATGAGAAAGTCATTACATTCAAAGGCAATACTTGAAACTGTATTATTAGTTTATGTTGTGTTCCACTTGCAACAAACCCTCATAAACAAGCTTTTATTAAATAACGTGGGGCACAATTTCAAGAATTTCCGAGGCTAACGCTATGTAAGCATACCCAGAATATCACATGTCATTTATTTTTTTTCCATTGCTGTTAACATAACCAGGGCTTACTGCTGAATTGTGGTCTGGCAGGACTGTGTCTGGTTAACCTGAAGATTAGTATGATTTCTTTTAAACATTAGTCTTTGTTTTCAAGTAGATAATTATTATATTTCTTTATAAAGCTAATATCCAGCATTTTTTGTGATTTTGGGCCAGAGGTTTTCTCAAGATTAAGTATAAATTGACAGACATAAATAATCCAAGAATTCCAGCTTGTAAAACTTTCTTTCTTTCTTTCTTTTTAACCCACAAATGAGCTTTATCTACTTTTGATTTTCAGATAAACATAGTCTTTTAGCAATTTTGCTAAAAATATCAAAAATAAGACCAAATACTAAAGCACTAATTCTGAAGAAAGTGAAAAACCTACTGACACCATCGACCTTCATGGGCATAACTGGTTGATGAGATGACGCCTTCAAGCGTCCAGAAACTGTACACAAAGATGGAGGTCCACAATCCTCTTCCTGACATTTTGCTTGATTTCATTTAATGTTTTTATGATGGCACACAACGAAGGAGTGATGTTTGAGGTGTTGCTATCAGCTGTTCATCATGTAAACTCTTTAGCAGTAATAGTATATCCTGATGTTTGTGACCTCCTTTAGCAGGATAATGAGGCATCCAATCAGACATCTGTGGGATCTGCCCTATCTATGGAGGCCCCAACTTACAACAAACAGGACTGAAAGGGTTTGATGGTAGCATCTTGTTACTAGATACCATAGCAAGCCGTTAGGGGTCAAATGAAGTCTATTCTCAACCATTATGTTGGCAGCAAAATGGAGACCAATACGTTATTAGGCAGGTGGTCATAATGTCATACCCAAAAAATCTACAACAACTTAGTAAAAGTTAAAGACTAGTAAAACACTTTTGGTTAAGAAAGTTTCTGCACTGGAGCAAAATTTCCGTCTTTATTCAGCTTTGGCTAGTTTAGCCGTCATGCTAGCATCAAACTTGCTAGCAACCTGAGTCACATTCACACTACACCTGGCTTATGCATTTTTAAAGTTTCAGTATTTCAGTTTTATGCTTTGTTCAGAAACTAACTCTTATATTTTATCTTTCTTTTCATAATAGGAGCAAAATATTCTTAACAATTCACTAAAATTTATTTTAGCTAATTTATTTTTATTTGTTTCAGTTCAAGAATTTAAAATTAAAACATTTTGTTGGGATTTGGCAATTTTTTTTATTTTTTATTTATTTATTTATTTTTTATCTTTTGCCAAACCCTGCTAATATTTAACTGCTAATATTTATTGGTTAAATGCACATAAATCGCAAAGCAGTTTGTCTTAGCACTTTTTTTATTTTATTAAATTAGTGTGGCAGTAAACGCATTTTCTTTGAGCCTTTGAATTTTTGATTTGTGTCTATCAATGATCTAATTCCTTAATTTCCCTCGCCATTAAAGTTTTAAAGCCGACCTGGCATTGTAGTGTGCAGGCAGTGATGGTACCGCTGCCTTTTCCTTCTAACAAAGGCCACTTTGTTCATGTTTGCGGAGAAGCCAGCTGTGTCCAGGGCTGAGGTTTAGTTCAGGGTGCTCTCTCACTTTTATGTCCTCCTACACAGGTCGGCCGTGGCTCCCATGAGAAGGGCACGCTGCTGTCATTGGCAGGCAACCTCTCAATGATCTGCAGAGGAGATTGCCTCTGTGTGGGCAGGTCAGGGCGTTCCGCATCAGCACACACAGCTGCCGGTGAGCACAGGAAGGATCTGCAAACCACAACTGGCACCTCCTGAATATTGTGTCTCGGCTAAATTGGAATGTGGCCTTTTATAGATTACAGACATGGTGATTCAGCAGGGAAACATGCGCCCCACCTGACTATCCTTGGGCAAATTATTGTATCCATATCAGTTGTTTGGCTGCTTACTTCCTGTGAAGATGAACAGTCAAAACAAAATTTAATCTCTCTACCTGTGATTATAGTCATATAAAGGTTTGAATGTGTCTGTGTTGGAAAATTGTATCTGTAGACGGAAGCATTTACTGCACCGTGCACAAACATTCAGTCAGTTGGATGTTTTTCTCCTTTTGACATATCCATTGTGAAAGAAGATATATATATATATATATATATATATATATATATATATATATATATATATATTTAAATCTTAAAGTATTCTGCACACTAATTTTATTTGTTTTTTCAGGATTATGCTGTACATGCTGCATCCGTCTTCCCAAAAACTCTGACTACCTTCCCAGTCTCTGCAGAGGAAAAACATCCCCACACCATGATGCTGCCACCACCTTGTTTCTCCTTGGGAATGGTGAGTGCATGGACATGTATAGTGTTATATTTCCAACGCAAAGAACATTAAGCTTGTGGCAAACTGTGAATGGAAGTTTTCTTGACGTTTTCTTACCACCAAACAGATGGATTCATATCAAGATTAAATTGAAATAATTAGGTGACTTTTTTAAAAATAGGAATTATGACCAATGGATTTTTTTTTTCAGGGTGTCAAATGAAATGAAGTTGATTGTACATTAATAAAAAACTATTTTTATGTGAAAACATTTGGAAAAAACTATGCATTTTCTTTCCACTGTACACCTATATAGTAAACTGTATTAAAAATACACCTACTCTGCAAGACAGTTGCATACTTCTCAGACCACAAGCTGTCTATTTCTCATCTCTTTTGTTACTTTTATACCAAGCTCAAGTCCATACAGAGGGAATTGAAGCCATCCAAATAAAGTAACCTTAACTGAAATGTATTAAAATGTGTCTCTGTTTGCTTTTCACAGACACACCTTACATACAGCGTTCAATCTAAGTATGAGGATTAACCAACAGAGGTGTGTGTCTTCAGGAGCGGTGATGTCATGTCTTTGTTGGGTGAAAGGTTTCTTCGGAGACTGTCCACTTTTTAATGAAGCAAGCAAAGCATCTGGTGCTTCAGTGGAATCAGTCGAAACTGACCCAAAACCTCAGCTGTTAACAGCCACGTGCAGATAATAAGGATTTCCACTCGCTTTTCCCCATGAAGGCGAGCCTGGCAACCTAAACAACCAGAGGGCGCAACCAAGGGGAGGCTTTTGATCTGGTTCAATCAATGGTAGCAAAGCCTCAACTGGTGATGACAGCCGGCGATGGTGGTCGGAACAGGGCGGCAGTGGGAGGGTGGTGTCTCTTGTCTCCCGTTATTTGAGTCGGAGTCTTTTTGATTGATTACACTCCCATCGTTTCCTTTATTCCTCTGTCAAACCATCGGCTTTTTCTTTCTTTCTGGAGGGGCATCTCCCTCCCCCCGTCTCCCTCCTATTGCAAACCCACTCCTCTTTCTCCAGATGGCATCTGCTGCCCACACATCTGCATTGTGTGCCAATCATCTGCACCGACTCCAAAGCTTTAGCTTGAATCTCTCTCACACACGCACACACACGCACACGCACACACACACCCACACACACACACTCATATGCAAAGGGGCAGTCATTTGCCAGTCTGATCTGCAAATCATATGCTTGGAATTTCTCAGCTTTGTTTGTAAAGATTTAGATCTTGGATCTAAAAGGACACTTTCTGGGTTTTGATGCGA